CCTTATAATCCATATTTGGAATTCTTTATCAGTCATTGCACTATTTTTATTTTGGTTGGTATCCATTGGTAAGGAGTTATTGTTTTCTTTTGGGTGTGTCCTTTTGCTCTTATTTTTCATATTTCTGGAGTTCTTTCACTGATTCTTTCTCATCTGACCTCTCAATCAAGACCTGGGGATACCAGGAGTGGCTTGTAGGCCTATCTCTAGGTCCCAAAAGATCGATCCCTGACCATGGCAGGGAGAGGATTGCTGGTCCCGTGTTGCCTATGGTGTGTTCAAATAGGTTTGATGAACCTCTCAGGTTCCCTCTGACCTTCCATCTTCACCTCTTCCCAGCAGTGATTGGGTTAGGTCCCCCAGCTTAATCTCCAAGATGGTGGGTTGTACTTGTGAGTACAAATCAGCCACACCTTGTTTGCTTGAATTGGAAAGCACTATGCTGGGCTATAGAGTTGTTCCCCCATCATTGGTTGATGTTTGTGTAGAATAGCCAGCTGCCAAGATGTTCTTTTTTGCTTTGATGGTAAGCTCTGGGCCCCCTGTAGGGGCACACAAGTGCCCCAAGCTTTAGGAGGGACCCTGTAGCTCCCAGGGGTTTGCTTGAGCTCTACACCACTGAGATTGGGGAAGGAAAAAAGCAGGTCAGCAGGTCGTGGCTAGATTGTGAGAGCCTAAAAGGCTTTACAAAGCCTCCATGGGGCTCAGCAGTTGCTTTTCCATCTGCTAGGGGGAGCCGCGGGAATGAGCTTCAGGATAAGCTCTCCAAACTGGGAAGGCTGTTCCTGAGGGAGGGGCCTAAACACTTGCATGCTAAGGCCCTGGGCCATGCTCTTTCTGTCCTTGCCCACTAGCACAATTTATTTGCGGGGAGGGGTGAGTGCCCTCCCAAATCACTACTCCCTGGAACCTTACTGTGCACTCCTATCAGATCAGTCTGCATGAGTTCCCTCCACCAGAGTCCTCCTCTCTAACTTTTCCCCAGTCCTTTTGCCTGACCCAGTAGCCTTCGTTCGTCTCCACATAACACTGGCGGGCAGGGGGTTTCCCAGTTGTGCATCCCTGTTCCACCACAAGTCCCCAAAGGGAGAGCAGTGGG